GTAACTCCGCAGACATATCGCTGTGCCACTGGGGGGCACTATAAATCGAAAAACCTCTATATTTTATCATAATTCATTAGCAGCGGCTCATATAGAAAACTTGCTTTTCTACGGGGAATCACATTTTAAGTGGCTTTTTTTTTACCGTTATACACTCCGCACTGTTTTACGTAAAACTGTGAATTTTTGTCTTCAATTTAAAATTTCCATCATTTTGGTGAATTAACTAAACTGCTATTTATTATCGTTTAGCTGTAAGTAATATTTCATAAGATTAATCAAAAACGTTAATTAATATTTGAGAACGTTCAAAATGTAATGGATGTAATTAATAACCGTCGAATGTCTTCCTTGTATCTATTTTAGGGAAATGAGGCAAACTCTATAATAATTTGAACTTTGCTTTATAGAACACGGCGGTGAATCTTGAAAATGAAAAGAAGAAAGAACTGACAGAAATTTCCAAACCCAGAATAGACTGTGTTAATGACAACAGCAATGCAAATAGTAACGAATCAAGCAATTATTTAAACACGGACGCTAAGGTAAGTAGCAATACAATACTTCATCATTAAATATAATTATATGTTTTGTTACACCATCAGTTTAAAGTAATGCTAACTATTTTCACTCGAAGATTCTTGTTGAAATTGTCCAAAATATGAGAAGCATATGACTTCATTATGAAAACGGCAGAGCCATGCGTGGCCTCGTGGTTAGCTTGTCCAAGCTGTGAATCCGAGAGTTCATGGCTCACGTCCCTTTGCTGTAAAACCTCGATCCGCATTTAGGAGTCATGGGTGGACTATCAGAGTGACAGTCAAATCTCAATTTTCGGTTAAACTAGAGTAGCCCAAGAGTTGGCGGTGGGCGCCGTTGACTAGCTGCCTTCCCTCTAGTCTATCACTTCAAAATTAAGAAATGTTATGCACATATAGTCTTTGTATAGCTCTTTCCAAATGAGAAGATGCTTCGCAGATTTTTTCACGATATAAAAGAAATTCAGAACGTTGTTATAAAATAATAAAATAAACAAACAAATGAAAAGGAACAAGTTTAAATATCAAATCAATTCAACAGATCTACCGTACCTGTAAGGGAGCAGTATATAATAGCACCAGTAATTATGAGAACAAAGAAAATAATATTTACAACCAAATGACGCTTTAACAAGGAAAGAAGGGTGGAATTGTATGACAGGTATGAATTACGCTAAAGGCCAAGGGAATATGTGCGGTTATATCCCCCTAACAGCGTTGGGGATACTCCCGTCTCTTCAGTTATCCATCAAATCGCGAGTGAGAGACCAATATAAAAAACAATAGATAACCAAATATTAAGATGAGACCCAAATGCTCAAACCCACAACGTATCTAATCCAATTATACATTCACAGTCCGCGGTCAGTTAATACTAATTTTATGCCCCATTATCATAAGTCTAAATACTGGTGTAGTTGCATCACCAAATAAACCATAATATCTTCCCGTATAGGTTTGGAATAACCCAGCCTATACCCTTTTACGTTAGTTATACAAAAATGATGTATTGCTAAATATAAAAACTACTTTATTTGTTGATCCTGTGAGTATCCTCCATATTGTTAGGCTAAATATTGAAATTAATATTTCATCTAAATTTGGAGATGCAGTTGTATTACTTATTGTTTCAGTATGATGTTGAACATGATGTAACTCTACTCCTGCCTATGCACACACACGCATACACAAGTAACTTCTGTGTATGTATATTTATCGAGAAAGGAAGATGTATATAAACGCTTAATAAATAATATATAAGAGACTGATAAAGATTTCTTTCACCTTGTTTATTTATCTAGAACTAGAAGCTTCAAGTGACGACTATAAATTTCACTTCAGATGATAGATTATAGTGGTTTAGTTGATTATGTTATTGTATATTTCATCAATTTGACTACAGCCTTATTCATAACAACTCACGTGCTACTAGAAAAAACAACAACAAAAAGACAGCTATTTCTAAATGCTTCTGATATGATTTTGGTGGCAGTGGAAATACAAAGAAAACCTTACGAGTGTAGAACTTGCATGGAATCTTTTTGTATGTATGTAAAATCAGTTCAGATTTATTGTGGATTTAGATTATACGTTTGACTATGTTTTCAAAATGGATATGCTATTGAAACGAACCCCATTATGAACTTAAAAAGTAATGATAAAGTGGTGAACAACTTATATAAACATAATGGAAAATCGAATTGTTTAAAATGTTTTTATAAAGGGTAAAACTACTAAATTGTTCAGAATTTCTTAAGATACATATCTGCTTTTGTATCCTCCACTCTTTCTCACTCACATTTTGAACAGTTTCATGATCATTAAATTTCAGTTTACCTGTACACTAGAGTGATCCCTCAGGTGCTACTGATGCACACGTGCATCATTACTAAACATGTATTCTCCGTCCTTCAGCAACATGTATTCTCCTTCTGAAACTTTCAGTTGTTGATCGTACTTTCTGTGAATCCTGAACTTTTCGTTTGAATCCTTTAATAGCTAATTCGCTAAGGAGTTCTAATTCTCTTCTAAATGTTTTTAAACTGGTTTAAATATTTCCTGTGGTAAGGTGCAAACACGTATCTGTACAGACGGATACTGCTTCTTCAACGTTTCGTTTTGCGTGGGTCACCTAACTCATTCAACGTATTTGTGTCCGAAAAAGAGAGAGAAAAAACAGTTTGCCTTAAATCATAACTGCGCTGCTTAAAGCGTTTTTTTTTTCTTCAAGTTTTTGAATGATAATAGATTACAGTTACTCGAAAACGGAAACACCTTACTGTGTGTCTGTGTTAATTATACAGGAGGGAGGATAAGCAAAAACATCTGAATACGAGAGTAGTGTTCACGAATTCAACCTACTTAAAGACTTAAAAGGAAAATAAAAGGTTAGAACCGGTCTGAGTTCACTTAAGAAACAGTGGGCTACAGCGACGTTATGTATGTTTTGCACTCCACAGATGTAAGCTACCTGACATACAAGCAATTAATTAGGCATGAATTAACTACCGTGAATATGTTCATGGTAAATCCCGAATAGTTATGTAGCAAATTTACAATCAACAGCAAACGCTCTTCTTTTTAGCTCTTGTAATTTTTTTCTTTTTGATAATACTCACCTGAATATTAAGCTATAAAACTCTCTTTATACCTTGAGCATGAAATTCAAAACAGAGCTAAAAAAAAGCGGAGAAAAATAATGTTGCATATTTATTGCTCGGTGCAGGTTTTCTCTTATATTTTTGTTTTGTTTTTTCAATCCAGAGAAGCTTTCGTTAACAGCAAGACGAATATTGGTGTTGTTTCTTGTTTTGGCTACTGTTGAGTTAGCTTTCTAAGGTTATACACGCAAGTCTTTTTCTGTTATATAAATTTTGGTGTTATCCTGTCATGTGTTTTCATAAAAAAAAGAAAGAAAAGAAGATAAATACTCTACTAGATATTTCATATCCGATACGTCAGCTTTTTCTGCTGAAGTTATCTTATAGTGGAAGCAGTTTTGATATAAAGAATCTATAAATACCTAATCTGTATCGTTACGCAGTATACACATGCGTACGATTTGATACAAGTTGCGCAAAAAACGTAGGCATACAAAATGTTCACAAAAAATTGGCACATAACCTCGAAAGCTATTACAGGATTATCTGCGACTATGAAAAAGATAAAAAAAAATTATTGAAAGATAAGAATACAAGCGCAAAAAAAAAGAAGAAGATAAGAATGATATAAGTGAAAGTCGGGGAAAGGTAAAAGACACGTAAAATCAGAGAAACAAAATAAGTGTAGAGCAAGTGAAACTCTGAAAAACTATAGTATCTGTGAAGAAGAAAATAAGTAAGAAGTCCGATAATAATAATTAAACCAGTTAAATAAAAATGATTAAAACATTAAAGCGCCAATCAAGTATACACCCGTATAAAGAGGTAAATAAAAGTAAAGTAAGTTCAAAATAAGTGTAAGGTTAATCAATGTCAAAAAGTATTATACAATCAGTTAAAGATGAAATAGGTATAAAGTTAAAAAGTTTAGATTCAGTAAAAGATAACAGTCGGGAAAAGTATAAGTTAAATAGGTAGTCATATAACGACAAAAAATCGTGTAAAATTGAAGTAAACATAATAGGGATATCTACAAGATCTATTCAAAGTCACTTACAAAATAAAGAGGATAATTCCTTTGTTTTACGTAAAAACTGGATTTGTGTGCTAATTGCCATGTTTTATACGTATCTTTGAAACTACACGAATATTAGCTGTACTTCGACTGTATTTTGCCCCCCAGTGGCACAGCGTTATCTCTGTTGACTTACAACGCTAGAATCCGGGTTTCGATACCCGTGGTGGGCAGAGCACAGATAGCCTATTGTGTAGCTTTGTGCTTAATTACAAACAAATCCTTTGTTTAATTGTAAAGCTGTCCAGTGAGCTACCTGCGCTATGCTTACTGCAGAGATCGAACCCCACATTTTAGCGTTACTATCCCTCGAGCTTACCACCGATCCATCGGGGAGCAAATAAAGAGGTTAAAGTAATAAAAAGTAGAGACGTTTAGTCTCATGAAGATGAAACAAATCAGACAAAGATAATGTTATTGATACTAAGGTTCACATTCGTGTTTGAAGTATAACAGACAGAACCGGATTGACTATGATGGAACCAGGGGTTTCTAAATGTTTTAGTGCCCCTCTGTGCATATTCAATTTCTTCTTTTACTAATAAATAAATGAAGGTGAAATGAAGAAAAAGTGTCATTGGCTACTATTCTTAGACTTCGAAATTAAACACTTTTCGGAATATAAGTTTATTTATTATATCTGCTATTGTGCGGCTATATAATGTGAAGAACTGAATAGTGGCCAATGACACTTTTTCTTCACTTCACCTATCCAGTGTATAGGTTCTTCTCATAGTGAATACAAAGCACGTTCACACCAACACTATGTTTGTTTCTTCCTTTACTGCCTCTCCTGTGCCCAGTTTTTTCAAACACTGGTCCTATTTCAGTATGGACTTTTTACATTATATAAAATATGTTCCTTTTACTTGCACATAGCGGTTAAGTTGTTATTACTTGTTCACTTGGAATACGCCTTCATACAAGGCTATTTAAAGGTTTTCACATATACAACATTACAGTGTAACAAATCGTGCAGCACCCCACCCCATCACTACACACACCGAGAACAACGTAATAACATAGCAAACAAAGTGCAAATAATACGACAAGTTTCAACCAAATTAATAATAATGATTGTGGATTTTGAAATGCAAACCCGTTCCCATTGACTGCAACGTTGCGTTTTATCGATAAAGCAGTCATGCCCTATTCTGATCCATAATGTCATACGATACTTTTTATATGTTATACAAGTAAAGAAAAAACGTTTCGAAAAAGAAAGTAAATGTAGGGATGGCTAGTATCAACCTTTCAAACACAAGAATTAACATATAGCAATATACATAACTATTCAATCACAATTGTGTTTAATTTATCCTATTTTTGTC